TCTAGCATTGTAATTTAGATAAGATTAAACCTAAACCATTAATGACAATCTTAGCAAAAATTAAGAGGATCGCATTAATCATGAGGTTCATGACATGCGTTTAATATTCAAGGAAATAAACGAGCAATAATTTGGAGAATCTTACGAGTTGTTAAGTAGTCAAAAGAGGGTCTACAATGTTTTTTTGTTATATTCTGTATGTCTTATTTTAATTGGAACAACAATACGACACACGTTAAATCCTTAAGATCCAAAAGATACTTCCATCGTATTTTTTGTTCATGTGCATTGAATAATATAGAAGAAAAAAAAATTAGAAGTGTTTATGTAGGGTATAATCAGATTTGTATCAATATTAATTTTGTATAATTTTTCAATTATATGTTGATAAAAAAAAAATTGATTAGATGTGCATTGGAAATTTTGAATCTATAATTTTTGAAACCAAAAAAAAAAAAAAAAAAAAAAAAAGTATTAAAAGTATTTAAAAAAATTAAAGCCTTTATGTCACATGGCACCCTCCTCAATTAATCGAGTTTTTTATTTCACGTGCTTAAAAATATGGATTATACAAGATTTGAATCCACAATATTAAAGTATTAGCCACTAAGCTATCACTACTTAATATATATATTGTCATTCTACTAAAATTGAATATAAATTAGGGCATTACATGGACTTAAGTTGGAGTAATGATTTATAAGGGTCTCGCCCAAATTAATGTTCATATTGAGAAGGATAACAAAATTCTTGTAAATCAATTGATGTTTAGACAAAATCCCGTTTCATTGTACTACATATAACTAATATTTTTAATATACGGTTAAATAATTGTAATTTACACCACTAAATTATATTTTGTTGAGAAATTTTAGTATATATTTACTTTATTTATTTATATATTGCAGTGTGATTTGGTTTGAGAAAATCTCGAACCGCACTTAAATTGACCGCGTAAACATACGACCCTAGATATTAGTTAATAAAGACATGTAATACTATAAAAATTAAAAAAAAAAGAGCCTATTAGTAGTGATAATGTGTAATAAGCTATATATTCAAATTAAACTCTTTCTGTAATTCTGTACATTAAAACATACATAAAAAGTTAAGAAACCAAAATTAGAGAAAAGCTCTTTTTAAACAAGATTACTCATTAATAATTCAAGAAAATTTTGTTAAAGATATATACGTTATTGATAAATTAAAAGGTAACACTTTAGGATACATTTATAGCGTAAGATGAAACAACTCGTATTTTGGATTCATAAAAATCAACTAAAATGACTTGTATTGAAGGAGGAAGGGGATAATCGGAGACGCAAGCACAATAATAGAAATAATAGAAAGGTTTTTTTTTTAAAAAAAAAAGAGGTAAGAAACCAAACAAATGCAACTATTTTGTGGCTGCAAAAACTACACAAATGATTTGCAACAAGAGAAAAAAAGAGACTATTAGGTAGGTCATTTCCAAATCAAAAAAGGCTATGTCGTAAAACATTTGGTCTTTAAAAAGACAAAAAAAGTGACAGAAAAATAGGTCCACTTTGTATATTCTTGGACCATACTAAAAATGTATGTTTATAATCAATGAACTTAATCATTCTTCAATTGTCACACTTTAATTGACTTTTGCGGTTGCTACACAATTGTAATGGGCTAAGTTTATGATCTGTATATTTGTCGTTAATTGAGAATATATATACCCCATCATTTTCATAATTATTGTAAACTAGTTTGACATTTCACATTTTCATAATAATTCTAAACTCGTTTGACATTTCACATTGTCAAACTCTATTATATATAGCTTGAGTACAGTGGTATTACTGTATTAGGGATAGACACAAGAATGATTTCCAAAGAACAAAAGAGAGTCAATTGGTTTACATGTGCGTGGTTCATTAATATATACTCCATGTGTTAACTAGTTGCGTTTACAAGTAGGTTAAAACCAAATAATTTATATATTACGGAGTATTTTAAAAGTAGAAATGAATAACATCTTGAAAATAAGTCCGAATAGAAAACAACAAAATTCCTTTGCTAGGACATTCGTAAGAGGCAAAATAATACTAGCAAGTTGGACATGTGTTCGTTAATAAATATGAAGTATTGTTAGTGGGGTTTATATGACAAACAAGTTACTGGTATACGCGTATATAAGAAAGCTTTGTTTTAAATTCAAGAGCATTCAAGTTGTCATGTAGGATCACTATGTCCTAGCTTAATATCATAATGTATTTTTTCTGTTCACTTTTAGTTGTAGTGTATTGCCTTTATGTTTTGCAATACATAAATAATTGAACGCTTCACTTCTCTGAATCTATTTTAATACTTTATATGTAAGTTACAAAGTGCATATCCCTAACAATTTATAACCTTTGTTCCTTTGATTTTTGAATAAGTGATCAAAGTATTTATACTAAAGGAATATTATTTATTAAAATAGGAAATACGAATCAATACAGCTCAATTAAGACAATTTTATTTTATTTTTTTTTTTAAGAGGAAAGATAAGCAATTATAAAATTTAAACATGTATTTTGAAGGAAAACCTAAGTCGGTCTACCGAATCTTTGTTGTAGTTTTACTAGTATAGTCAATGACTAAATGGTACAAGGAATAACTGAATTAAATAGTTACTGGTCCACCAAATTAATTTACACAATACATGCATACAAAGGAATAACTGAGTTACATTATTTCAATAAAATTAAAATTATACTCCGTATCATTTTACTATTAGGTACAAGGACATATATTGGATATGATCATTTTATTAATCAGGTCATCTATTATTCATTATATATATAATACGAGTCAATGCTCCATCCATAATGTATGTAGAGCCGCATTTAATTATTTACTCGTACATAGTAACATGAACCCTAAGCTAGGTTCGTTTTCTGTTTAATTATTTTTCTTCTATAATTTGTTCCTGTCAAATATTATAGATAAATTTATAATAATATTGTACATTTCTTTTTACTTGCAACACATTTTTAATTTTTGACAACAGCAATTAATGAGATATTTTGTGGAATTTTATTATTTTGATTTGCAACAAACAAACGAAAAAAAAACCCTAAAAAACTTTTTAATTTTTAGGAAAAACTAGAAAATAACACTACAAAAAAACCTAAGGTGGTGTTTGGCAAGTGAGAATTGAGGGTGGGATTGGGAATTTTAATCCCAATTGAAAAAATAAGCCTTGTTTGTTTGGTGGGAATGGGAATAAAAAAGGGTTTGGGAATGGGATTATTTAGGGGTGAATTCCCACCATTTACCTAGGGAGTAGGGGTGGCAATATCATCCAAACCCGATGGATAACCATCCACCCGATCCAAATATATGGATGAAAATCCGAACTTAAGCGGATGACGGATGGATGATGGATGAATCGAGTGATGGATCGGGTCGGATACGGATGATGATACACCCGATCCATCACCCGACCCATCCATCCACCCATTAAATTTATATAAAAAAAATAAAAATAAATACCTTTTTTAATAATTTAATGTCTATTATAGTGTTAGGAATTGACATTTGTTTTGATTTAGTAAAAAAGGAACAAGTATTAGAAAGATGTATCAAAGTTTTAATAAAATTGATCAGTTTTTTTTTTCAAATCTTGATTTTAATTATGAAAATGAAAAGTTTTATTCATACATTTATTTCACTGATGTGTCTATTTTATACAATATTTTACCCCCGTCCCTTGGTCATAATTAGTAGTGTTTTTGGCTCTTTAGAGCCACTTTTATTACTAATTGGTGTTTTCTAGTGTTTTCGTAGATTTGGTTGACTTTTGCAGGGATTTATGCTTTTGAAGTACTTTCCCGAGATATTTTGGAGCAATCACGAACATTGGAGAAGCACGACCAGATTCTATAGCCCAGGGCCGGTTAGAGCCATCGAACCGGTGATTAAGGGCTCGGTATAGGTGATACCGGGGCATTTGGAATGAGTATTCAAGACCGGAAAAGGAAACCCAGATTGGCCCGAAGAATTAGAGCCCAATCGTAGTCCAAATAGTGGCCCAAATAAGCCGCCCGGCCGGACGGGAGAAGCTTAGGCTGGCGTCCGGTGACGCGCCCGGCCGGGCTCGAGATTATTATTATGAGCAAAAAAAGTGCGCCCGATCGGGCGCGTGTATTTCTTAGTGGACGCTTAACATCATTTTAATTTGTTTTAGTTTAGGATTTTTGTACGGAGTATAAATACTCCTCCGTAACACGATTTTAGTATCTCTTCTTCTCCTTTTTACACTTTCTTTACCCTCTTAATTGTTCTCTTAGATTTCTTTCTCTAAAAACCTTTGTTCTTAATCTACTCTTAATTCCAGATTTATTTTGGTAACGATTTCTCTTCCCTTAATCTTAAATGTTTATTTTATTCCACTACAAGAAAAAGATGAATTAGCAACTGATTTTTGCGACTACCATAATAATCAGTAGCAAAAATTATTTTTGTGACTGAAAAAGACGAGCCGTCGCAAATTTTGCAACAGATTTTGCAGTAGTTGCTATGCGGTCGCTAATTAGCAACTAATATTTGCGACTACCATAATAATTAGTTGCAAAAATTATTTTTGCGACTGCAAAAAGTGAGTAGTCGCAAATTTTGCAACATATTTTATAATAGTTGCTATGCAGTCGCTAATCTGCGACATTCTTACAACTTTTTGCGACTAAATTGCAGTTGCTAAGGCTAACAAATTTGAAACAATTTTTTTAAAAAAATTAGCGACTAATATTGCAACTAACATGGTAGTTGCTACTATTTTTTTAAAAATTTATTAAAAAGGAATTAAAACCCTTAATAAGTTAATATATAATAAGTTTTTTTTTTTGGTACGAAAATATAAAAACCCTTAGTAAAAGTAGTATAATAAGTTGTTGCCGCCAAAAAACACAATAAACAAATATATCACTCCTTCCTAAAACAAAAAAAATTATATCACTCCTTATTCACGAACAGTGCTACTCGATACTCTTCATCCTCACAAAAAAAAAAAAACAGAAAACGAAGGCCAGAACAGTTCAATTCAGAACTTCAGATCAAACCGTCGTCGTCTTCATCTGTCACCGTTGCGCCATCCATCTCCTCCCCGGTTAGTTACGCATGCTTCCTTTTCCTAGTGTCCATTCAATAATTCTCATATTGCAATTTGCTAATTGCGATTTAGGGTTATCATTGAGTACTTTTCCAATTTTTTGAATTTAATCTGGTTTATTGCGAAGATTGAATTGATTTTGTTTGACCGCCAATTGCAAATTTAATCTGGTTTATCCTAGAACACGTCTCTAGAATATTGAATTCTGCAGTTTTACGACATGTTTGCTATGTGTAATGCATTGGGGATAGCTGGTTCGGGGATGGACAAATTAGGAATTGCATTACAATTCTATTAAAAGTAGTAGCTTTAGCAGAAAGAAGAGGAAGATCAGTTAAACTATAATCAGAGGAATTAGGAAGACATAAATGATGAAGAATTTTATCAAGTTTCATTTTAGTTTTAATTTGTACCTGAGAGAGATACTCTCAAAAGCTCAATATCAATTATATCTTCGGTAATTCTCATATAATCAATCAAGTTCATCTCCCTCTTATTTTTGCCCAGAATTTCAGTTTATTACACTATATAGAAGAGAATCTAAAATTTTTACCCTGGGATTTATTTCAAACTGGGGAAATATTTATTCTAGGATTCCCCAGTTTGGAGATACAATACAATGTATTGCAAACATTACAACAATACAATGTTGGTAATTTTAGCTTAGTTTATGTTTGAATGCTTAGTTTGATTTATTTCTTTTGTAAAATTTATTTCATTTTATTTCAAACTCTGGGATTTATTTTAAGCATAGGGTATTTCAGATTTGGTCATTTGAATCCAAAGAAAAGCTGGGGAAGAGGTGAATTTTACCTCACAAATTACTTCGGCACTGCCTTCTTTTTCCTTTTCACAAATTAGAAAGTTCACCACTGCCTTCTTTTTCAAGTGCTTTCTCCAACCTTGTTTCAAACGGTGTTGCATCCCAAATCACTTCGGCACTCTATCATAGCCAAAACCACCCCCATTCGTGCTTTCAAAGCCTCTGTCATAGCCACACGGACCTGAGCACTCATACTACGAACCATCACAGCCATAATGATGCCATTAGAGTCCCTAATCACAGCCCCCAAGCTTACACCCCACCCTTCCAACACCGCTGCATCAGTGTTGATGCGCACAGTGCCAGTAGCAGGGCACCTCCAACAGCCACGACCCACAGCAGCAACACTTCTAATCCCACCAGAGACTACTCTTGTCCTCTTCCTCTTTTAGCATAGTGCAAACAAATGACCAAAGCTGCCTTGTCTGCCCTGTTTCAACGGTCCTCTACCTGACCTTGCCTTAGCCACGGCTTGTTGTTGTTGCTGTTCTGAACCTGCTGTTATTTCTGTCTCCTACCTATTTCCCTCAATGTTCTGTTCTTTATTGCTTTTCTATTTTATTCTTGCATTGATCTAAGTTGAGTGTTGCATAATCATTACCACAGATTATTTACATATAAAAAATACTAAGCACAAAGCTTCATAAAAACAGTAACAAATTTTTTAAACCATATAGGTAGCAGACAACTGTTAAATTAATGCATATAACTCTGTATGTTAATTATTTATGTATAATATGCTATTTATGTATAATATGCTATTTTGAGTTAAAATTATAAGCTTTACATGTTAATTATGTGCAGCGTACATATACTTGGAGAACTGAGTTCGATGCTAAGGCTAGGAGAGAATTTGACAAAAAAGCTGGGGACCGACTTAGGGGCACATTGAACCAAGTTTACAAAATGCCTCTCCATAAGGAAGTTAGTTTCATGACTGACAATGTTCGAGCTGAATTCATAAATAAGCGTAAGCATCCTGATTTTCTGAAACGTTCTAACCAAGCAAGAGATAATCGGTTATCTGGCCAAACATTAGAGAAGTTTGACCTTGGCCATCGCCAAGGTAGCATATCTACTCCTCAAGTGGTTAAAAAAATGGTAAGTGTATGATTTTAGCAGCAAACTTATGATTTTATATAAGATTGAAGCAAGTAGAAAATTTTGTTGTATTTTTTTTAGTGCTAAAAGCAAAGAAAAAGGATGGAATTTTACCAACTGCTGCTGAAGTTTATGAGAGCACTCATTCTGTTTTTGTGGCCAATGATGAAGTTGAATTGATGGGTGACAAGTCTCAAAAAGTCATGGTATGAGTATACTTCTATATTTTGCTAAGATTAAAAAAATTTATATATGGTAATTAATGTTTGGAGATATTATAGATTGTTTATTTGTTTGTGTGATTGAGTTGGAGGATGAGAATGATTTGTCGGCATTAATCATATGATTAATGTGGTATGGCACAATGTGAATTGAGACAGGTTTATTTTGAAGCCATACCCTATAGGAGGGGATTCTTCAATTTACAAAGGAGACTCTGCCGAAATTTTTACTAATAACTGCTTACATAAATTATTTTGCTATAAGTCTTGCATTTTTTATTTTAACTTTTTTTTTTTTTTTTGATGTTTTTAGTCTTTTTAAGTATTAACATTTGAGATCATAGTTACTAATACATATCTTAATGCAGGGAGAATATATGGAAAAACTTGAGGAATATAAGAACAAAGGAATTGAGATAAACCCCGACAAAGTCTATTTGGAGGTTGTAGGTGGGCAAAAGAAAGGAAAAGTCTACGGTTTAGGGAGTGCTTCACAAATGTATTACAAGAGTGATCCTACTTCTCAATCTACTGCATCATCTTCCACTCCTTCCATGATTTTTCAATTAAGTTCTCAAGTTGACGAACTAAAGAAGATGGCGGAAAAAACCATAACAAGGTAGAATAAAGCCAAAAAATAGCGGCAGAGAGCTTAAAATGTGCTAAGGAATTCGTCGAAAATCATGAGATCGAAAAAGCTACATGGAAGAAGGAAAAATTAGCTATGCAAAAAATAATGCAGGAAATGGCATCACTTGTAAAACAAGTTTACCGTCCTTATAAGCCTCCTACGCCTGCAGTCACCCGCTCTCGTGATACAACTAAGTGATTTTTATTTTCTTGGTGGTAATTTTATGAACAACTGGTCTTTTACATTGTCATTAATTCTTGTTTGAAGTAGCTTTTTTTTATATGGGAGGTGACTTTTGGAACAATTAGTCTAATGAGTTAAATATTGTTTTTTAATACATTGATACAAAATTGATTGATATTTTGGATATTTGAATAAAATTAACATTTTGGTTATTTGAATATATTTGTGGGTACCTTTTTTGTGAATTATATTGGTTGTCGCTAAATTATGGTCACAAATATTGATCGTCAGTCGCAAATATTTAGCGACTGCAAATTTGGTTTAGAGACTGATTGGTTAGTTGCAAAATCATTAGTCTCAGTAGTCGCTAATCTGTCACAAATAATTAGTTTGTAGTTGCAAAAATTTGTTTCGTAAGTAGTTGCTAATCTGTCGCAAAAAACATTAGTCTCAGTAGTCGCAAATCCATCGCAATTAAACTAGTCTACGTAGTCGCAAAAGTTTAGTCTCGACGGAAAATAATTTAGTTGCTAAAATTTGAAAGTTAGTCGCTAAATGGTAGTTGCAAAGGCGTTGCAAATCCGTCGCTAAATTTGCGACTATCCAAAAATTAGTCGCAAAAATGGATTTGCGACGAGGTCTTTGGCAACGAACCAAAGTAGTTGCAAATCCGTCGCAAATCCATTTTTGCGACGGATTTGTGACTACTTTGGCCGTCGCTAATTACCCTTTTTCTTGTAGTGTTCCTTTCATCATGATTTATTTTATTGCTTTGATTATTTTAGTTTTTAATATGTGTGAGTAGTTTTATTTCTAGGGTTTAAGGGGATCCATAAATAATATGAAAGGGTAATTTGTTGTTGTTAATTATCAATGCTAGATTAATTTCCTATTGATTGATTTAATGCTCTGTGACTAGATTAGGCCTGATCTTTTATGCATGAGTTTAACAATATTGATTCGAGATTCGACAGATGAGAATTAATGTTTAGGTCTAGTTTCAATAGGCAGGTTAATTTATAAATGGTTAATTCGAGATTCGAAAGATGAGATTTAATACCGGTAAATTAATTGTGTGATTATAATACGTAGCGAAAGCCCTTTATAATCTGATTAATATATGCATTGATGAATGATTATTATATTCTACCCTGGAGTATTATTTATTAGTGAACCTATGCCCTAGATCCTTTTATATATTGTTTTCTCCCTATTCCTATTCTTTGTAGTTTAGTTTCATACTCAAATATAAATATTGGTTACTTAGATAATTTGGATTATAATAATTAATTAGGAGTAAAATGACTTGTTTCCCTGTGGAGATCGACCCTACTTCCCTATCTACTTTAGTTAGAGGACTTAGGTATTTACTTTTGATTAGGGGATACGACTTTACCCTGTCAAAATTTGGCGCCGTTGTCGGGGAAACGGTTTTATTTTTATTTCTAATTATTATTAGAGTCTAGATTATTTTTAATTTTTTTTTTAATATTTAATTTTTTTTGTTTATGAGTTGAAAATATCCATGCTTACGCCACTACAAGAATTATATAATTTTTATGCAGCACCTAAATACTGTAGTTGTCAACATCTTTGTCATGAAAATCCTGAATGCCCTTATAGTGAGTTTTTTGTGCGTGCTCCGGATGATTTTAGAGTCTTTCCATATACATATGATCATATTCGGAAACGATTAATTGCTAATGAAAGTTATTGGAAGGCTCTTGATGAAAAAGTTTACGGACACTATAATAATACGAATGTTATTGAGGATGAAGAACCATCGGTTATAGAATTTGTGGTTGAAACATCATTGGTTGACGAACCAGTGATTAAAATACCATTAGTTGTAGAAACGGTGGTTGAAAATTCCTTTGTTGATGATGAGGTTATTAGTGAGGGTAAAATTTTCAAGTCATTATTGGATGATAAAGACAATGACTACCTCCATGTTCGTTCTATTAATTCTAAATTTTTAACGGAGGAAGTAGAAGGTTATGGTGTATTTTCATCTCTCTCTTTTGATTTTTCCTTCTACCTTGAGTTCTCTTTATGCGCTCCTAACCTTTTCTTTTTAGGGATTAATGTGCTTGCAATTAAGCCCTATATAGTGTTTAATGAAATGTTTGCAGGAGCGTTTGATAAGTTACTCAAGGCGTTGAATTCTTCCGATTGAGAGAAGGTGTATGGTCGAGCGAGACCTTGATAAACTAGCGCTTTGCGGGAGGCAACCCGTACTTTAATTTGCTTTTTAGTTTAGTTTTTTCTTATTTTTGTGTGTGTGTTTTATTTTATTTTATTATTTTTTTTAGAGAGGTAAGGAGAGTGTAACTAATGCTTGTGGGAGTTTGTTTTTGTGCAGATTTTGAGCTAGAGAAGGCTTCATTCATGCTGGAACTGCACTCGTATTCGATCGGGCAGAGCTCGCCCGATCGGGCGCGCTTACGCGTCAGCAAACTTAGTCAACGTTGACAGGCCATAACTTTTGCGTTTCTTATCCGATTTTTACGTGTGACCTTTTTTTGGAAAGATCTTCAAGTCTAGTTTCCAATGCAATTGGAATCACTGTATTATCATTTATATATCAAAAGTTATGATCGAAAGAGTACACCTGACTCAAATTTAAACTTTTTCCCACTAACACTTTGTTTCTTTCTTGCCCAATTTTGTTCCAAAGAGATGCATTGCAATCCTCGAGACATTGCAAACCCGAATTATCACCCGATCCACCCGATTCATCCATGGATAACGGATGGATCGGATGTGGATGAAAAAAAAATTAGGTGATGGATGGGTCGGGTGATGGATGGATCATTGGTGGATGGAGGCGGATGAAGCATCACCCGACCCACCTCCGATCCATTGCCATCTCTACTAGGGAGGGTAGGTAATAAATGGATGAGAATAAGAATAGGGGAAAAATGACATTTTTGCCATTAATGAAAAGAATGAAATAATAATCTTAGTAAGGGTATTTTGGTAAAATTTGTTATTTATTCCCTATATATTCTCACCCACCATCCAAACAAGGTATTGACATATTTTCATGTATTCCCATCAATTAATTCTCAATTTCATTCCCACCTTTTAATCCCCAAACTCCCATTCCCACAATCCAAACGCCTCGTAAATTTTTATTATAACACGACAATAAAAAAAAAAAAAAAAACCCTCAAAATTTTGATTTCACCACCTTGTAACAGATTTTTGGATGAAATCCGTTAATGGGGGCATAATAGACACGTGTCAAATGTCTATTGGGTTTTTAAAAAAATTAATAAAAAAAAAAGAAAAAAGAAAAAACCCAAACCCAGCCAGCCCCACCACTAGCGGCACCACCTTTCCCAGCCGTGCCAACAGCCTAACCTAAGCCACCGCCATCCCCTTCCCCCATAAAAACCGGCGAAACCCTCCCTTCCTCTCTCCCCCCTCCCCAAAAACCACCCGAACCATCCTGACTAACCACCACAAATCACCACCTACCCACCGCAACATCAACCCCAAAAAACCATCTTTCCTTACCTTTCACCCTCAAAACGGTCGAAATCGACCATGACATCCCTCGATGTGTCAATTTCAGCCGCCGATTTTGCGGAAATGGGGAATGGGTGTAGATTTTGCGGCGCTTTGAGAAATGGTGGTGGATTTCGCGGCGGTTAGGTATGGGTTTTGCGGTAGTTTAAAGCGCTTGGGGTGGATTTGGAGAGGGGGAAGGGGAGAAGAGGTGGAGCGGCGGTTGAAGGGGTGGTTTTCGATATATGGTGTGGGAGTAGGGGATGCTTGCGGCAATCGCGACTGAGGCTGGTGCAGGGCGTGGGCTGGCTGGGTTATGGGTTGGGTTTTTTTATTATTAATTTATTTAAACCTCTAGTTACTTGACACGTGTCTTCTAGGACCCCATTAACGAATGTCATTCAAAAAAACCGTTAAGTGGTGGTGAAATCAATTTTTGGGATTATTTTGTGATGTTATAATAAAAGTTTTTTTTTTTAATTGTGGTGTTATAATCAAAATTTGAGTTTTTTTGTGGTGTTATTTTCTAATTTTTCCTAATTTTTACCATGGATTCACTTGGCTGCTGCTAGAACAACATAAAAGTCATGTTTAGTTGGTTACCTAAATTATATACTGCGTATTAAGGACACTAAGTAATCAAAGTCTTGAATGTTAACAAGAGAGTAGGGGCATATTTAACTAGGGATGCTAATTTAGTTGAGCAGCTTGCAAACAACTTGAACTTGACTCGGTAAAAATTTCACTCGAGTTTGACTCGACTCGAGATGTTTACGAGCACAAGTTGAGTAAGCTCTAACTCGACTCGATAAGCTCGTGAGCAACTCGAATATATTTTATTATTATAGAATTTACAAACAAAGTTACTATGTTTAAACAAATTTGACACTTAATAAATGTTAATTTATATTATCAAAAAAGATAGAGTAATACAGTAATAAATATATTACTAAAAAGATAAAAATATAAAGTTAACGAAAAAAAATAAAGGCATATAATTATAAATGGGTCAAACTTAAACGAGCAGATCATTAGCTACTCGACTCGATTCGAACAACTCGAAACTTTCATGAGCACGAGTCGAGCAGGTTTTATTGGCTCAAAACTTTAGTGAGCACAAGTTGAGCACATGTAAAAAAAAAAATTCGAGTCGAGTCGAACACCTTTCAGCTCGTGATCGACTCGCTCGATAAATACCCCAAGGCATAACCCACAAATAAAGCAATAAACTAGAAGAAAATATTATTAAAAATAAATATATTAAAAAAAAAAAAAACCATACCTAGCTAGAGTAGCAGGCCAGCCACAACCACAAAAAAAAAAAAAAAAAAAAAGCGAAAATCAAATACTCACTCCGTTTTTAATTATTTGCTCCACTTTTCATTTGCGGCCGTTTTTAATTACTTGCTTCATTTCCTTATTTGGAAAGTTTTTACAATATTTAATCAATTTCTCTCACCTAGTGGTCCCAACATATATTTTCTCTCCTCCAATTCTCTCCGCTACTTTTGCTTTTTATAATTTTTTATTCTTCCACTAACCACACTACCTCCATATTTTATTACTTTCTCCAATTTTCTCCTAAAACTCCGCGTATAGAGAAATAAAACAAGTATTTAAAAACGGAGAGAGTAATAAAACAAACTCTAGACTTAAACCAGTCACTACAAAAAGTTTTGCACCAAACAAAGCAAAGTTACACCAC